CTATGAACTCCTCAATTTCTTTCTTGACTTCTTCTAGGACTCATTAATTATTCAAGAGTGTGTTATTTAATTCCCAGGTGTTTACAAAATTTCTGTGGTTTCTTATGCTATTAATTTCTAGTTTCAGTTCACTATAACTTAATAATATATATGAAATAATTTCTTCCCCTTTCTTTTCTTTCTTTCTTTCTTTCTTTCTTTCTTTCTCTCTTGTTTCTTTTGATCTTTCTTTTTGTTTTGGGGATTAATGTTTTGCCTCTAAGCTATATCCCCAACCCTTTATTTTTCTTGAGATTAGATCTTGTTAAGATTAATGTTTTGCCACTAAGCTATATCCCCAACCCTTTATTTTTCTTGAGATTAGATCTTGTTAAGATTCAGGAAGAATTCAAACTTATGATCCTCCTACCTTAGCTTCTCCCATTTCTAGGATTACAAACCTACACCTCCACACCCAGCTACATGAGCAATTTCAATTCTTTTGAATTTATTTAAACAAGTTTTATGGGCTAGTATGTGGCCTTTTATTTGAGAACATTATATGTTGTTGAGAAGAATGTATATTCTGTTGTTAGAAGACTCCAGATATCTGTTTAGTTCATTTGTTGCAAGGTGTAGCTCAACTATGATATTTCTTTCACTGAATTTACTGGTATTTGGTACATGCATATTTACAATTGTCATCTCTACCTGTTGAATTTTCCTCTTAACTAACCTGCAATGACCTTCTTTTTGAAATGCACTTTGTCTGAAAATAGAATAGCTCTTCCTGCTTGGCTTTAGTCTCTCATAGCATAAATCAGACATAAAGTATAAATATCCATGGTTCTCTTATATGAGAAATGCAAAGTATGAATAATTTAAAAGGAAAAATAAAGGATAGATAATAGTAATTAGAGAGATAGATCTTTTGCAAATAGAAAAGGAATCTAGAAATGGAGGGAAGGAGAAGAAGGGGAAGGGGAAATAAAAAGAATTAACATATGTTATATACATGTACCAACTTCCTTCAGTGAAGGCAAGCACTATTTACTGAAAACATATCCTAATAAAAGTTTGAGGTTTTTGGATGCCTTGAAGACATTTTAGGAAGTAGTTAGGCCTCACCCATCACAAGCAAAACTGTAAAAAGGTAAACTCCTTGGAAACAATTTCCTTTGAGAAGAGAGCCCCAGGGTCTGCTGCTTAATCAGGGCCACCTAAAGAAATTGTCCTGGAGTTCAGCCATGCAGGCCCTCAGTGGATTTAGTAGCAACAGCCAAAGGGAACCAGGCTATTGTTCAAGCCATTGGCAGACCTTGATATTATCCACATGGTACTAGCTCTCCAGGCATGCAAAAACCAAGTATTGTGGAGTAATAGAGGTTTCCCCCAATAATTCTGAGGAAGGCCTGAAAGGGCCAATAATATGCTCCTTTGAAGGCAATGCATAAAGCTGTGAGAGTGAGGCTAAAAGCCCGGTGGAGACATTAAGAATATGAAATGCTTGCTGACAAAAACTGTAGGCAGTGAGCAAACCCAACCAGGAGGAAGCAGCTCTAACAAGCAATTACATAGTGGTGGGGGCACCAGAGCCCTTAGGAGTTCATATCTTACCACACCCCCCCCCCAGTTGCTGTACATGAAGACACATGATTTAATGTTTGCCCTGCTGGATTTAAGGTTTGCTTTGGGCCCATTTAGTTCTATTCCCCTATTTCTTTTTTTTTTTTTTTTTTGGAGGGGAATGAAATTTACTATGTGTAATTGTATGTTGGCAGTATTTTACTTTCTTTTCAGTTTTCATAGACATTCAAAGCTGAGAGAGTTTGCTTTGAGTCTCAAAGGAGACTTTGGACTTGGATTTTTCAGCAGAGCTGCAACTGTTAAGACTTGGGCAACTCTTAGAGATGGACTAATTGCATTTTTCACAATGAGATGGACATGAGCATTTTGGGGGTCAGGGTGGAATACTATGTGTTAGATCTAAGATGTTCCCAAAATTCTCACGTTTGGAAGTTGATTGGACCATGGGGAACTATACTCATCAGTGGATTATTCGTTCTTTAGTTCAGTAGTTCATGTGCTGCTAGGTGGTGATGGCTTGTTAGAGGAGTGGACAGTGAGGCTTAACCTGGGATGATGTAATCTTGTCTCTGCCCTTCCTCCTCTCTGCCTGGTTCTTGGGTGCCATGAGCTGAGCAACTTTCCCCTACCAGTCCCTTCCATTATGCTGCTTCTGCCTTAGAGCCAGATGATATGACTGAAATCCCTAAATCATGATCCAAGTTAAAGTTTTCCTTCTCTAAGTTGTGTGTGGGGGGTATTTTGCTCCAGTGTCAAGAAAGTAAATAATACTGATATGCACTCACCGAATATCTTTGTGTAAATATATGCACAGGAATAAAAAATTCAAATGAATCATATCTATATATCTATATATCTATATATCTATATATATATATATATATATATATATATCTCCTTATTAATTTAAGGATGATTAAGTAGCTCTCATGTGTCTAAATTATAGTAGATACTTTTAAGTAAAAGGTAGAATGAGCTGAATGTGGGCATCTGGGGTTGCTAAAGCTCATATAACTGCTCAAAATAACTAAACGCCTGCAAGTAATGACAAATGAATATTTGAAAGCTTGTCAAAGCTAAAGGTATGGAAGCCATGTGTAGTGGTGCACACCTGTAATCCCAGCACTTGGGAGGCTGAGACAGGAGGATTGCTGAGAGTTCGAGACCAGCCTGGGCTGCAAGATGAGCTCAAGGCCAGCCTGAACTGCATAGCGAGACCATGTCTCAAAAAGACACACACACACAAAAAGCTAAAGGTATGGAATATAGGAATGAATAAAATTGGAAGGGATGCCTAAGTGCAGTGGTGAATGTGAGATTTTAATGCTCTGTGCTGAAGAAGATGGATGGGAATGTGAAAAAAGGGGTTTTTAAGTGAGGGCAAAAATGTGAGAATGCGGGAAACTCTGGGAAGAGGGAATAGCCAATGGAAGATAAACATTCATCAAAATTGCTTGTTTTTGCCATGTAACTTTATAAAAGCTCCATTGCCAACCAAGTCAGGTATTGCTACACTCCTCCAAAGTGGACCCTCAGATGCCAAAGTAGAGAAGTTTCCCACTGTCTTCTGAACCTTGGCATAGAAACCCTATTGCTGAGTTGTACGTGGTGCCTCAAATTGTCCAGTTTTAATAGGATTTGTTGTGTGCGTGGTGTTCTAAGCCACTAAGCACTTCTGAAATCTTGAAAGAAATATAAAAACAAGATATCTAATTAACAGAAAAGTAATTAATCATCCAAAAATAGCATAGGAAGGACTTTCATTTCTCATATAGTTATAGCAACATTAACAGCCTGTGGTTCATAATCCTCTAAGATACTTTCTACTCAATAGTCTGTCATGTCTGATCCCTTTCATTCCACTTCCATGACTGTTGTCTCTTGGTCTCAGCCCTATCACTTCCTCCCTGGAGAACTACTTGGCTTCTTTATTCTTTTTCCATTTAGTGTCTGTTTTTTGCCTCAATTTAACCAGAAACGGATCCCTACACCATGGCACTGTCTTCTCTTTCCATTCCATATGCTTCTTCAATTGGTGATAATTTCTACCATTTTTTTTTAAAAAAACTTGTACAATAAGGACTCCCAAATTTATGCTTCAGTCTTGACCCTCCCTGAGTTTCCTGTAGAAAACTGAACATGTCCAATATCTCTCATTTTTTCCAGGCCATCACCTTGCTTTCAGAGGACCAGACTACAAGAGTGATCTCCTGTTGTCCCCTTCCACACATGCATATTCGCTTAACACATTTTACCAATGCACCAAATGATTCCGAAGTGTTTACGTTCTTTTCACGTCAGCTGTGCTGCACTGCACAGATTCTAGTCTCAGCATCTCTGGTTGGTTGGGGAAGTCCAGTTGTGTAACACCTGTTTTTCAGGTCTGAAATACTGCCTACCTCCAGGCCATATTCTGATTGGGGAGGGCAGCCTTGCAATAAGACCATTCTAATGAATTACTAAAATATTGGGTATAGGGATCCCTGTTACCTGATTCCAAATCGTGTGAGCAATCTTGTCTCCAACCACATTTTCCATGTGCCTACCTTCTCACCACAATGAACTACTCTCTATTTTCAAGTAGTGCCAAGTTTTTTCCACATCTCTGTGTCTCTGCCAATGCAATTTCCTCAGCCTGGCATATGCCTTCCCCCCTTCCCATCTGGCCAGTTCCTATTACTCCTTTCATTCAATCTCACAAGTCATCTCTTACACGAATTCTTTCCTCTCTGCTCCCAAGCTGAATTAGATTGCTTATCTGTATTCTGATACAACATTAAACACACACATAAAATATGTTATGATCAGCTATTTGAGGAAAAGCGCTACTAAGCTAGTTCAGTGGCTAAACTATGAGCTCACCGTTCCTCCAGCACAGGGTTTGACACATACAAAACCTTTAATACATGTGTGTTGACTGAACGAGTAGAAAAGCTTGTAAGTCTTTGCTTTCTACATCATAGTTATGAGATTGGCAATGAAGGAACCTCTTCAAATTGTCTATTCCTCCCCCAGTATCATGTTTTCTTTATCTCTCAAACCTCAGAAACAGGGCTTTTGCCTCATATAGGTCATAAATATTTTTATTGGTGTTTATAGCCATTTCTAAACTGTTTCCTCATACTATTTTCCCTCTTTGGAAAAGTTTCTGTCTCTTCCATCAGTATAATACTCCTAAGTACATTTTTAACCCCAGCTTAGAAACCCCTCGAATATTTTGGGCTGGCTGTAGACTAAATTTGTATCCTTTTAAATCTATGCCATTTGTATGGCGTGATTCATTGTATACACATATACACATAACTGCACAAACACTTTTTTAAGTTGGTTCAACCAGGTGAATTTGGGAATATTCAAATATACTTTAAAATGGCAATACCACGTACTTCAACTTCACCATAACTTTTTGAAGGCAGGTTACCAAGTGTGTTGTATTTTTTTTTTTTTTTTTTTTTTTTTTTTTGCCTAGAGTTACTATTGGAACAATTTTATGCAGACAGTACGTAGTGGTCCCTGTGAGCCCCCAAGAACTTTCCAGGAAATGAAAACAATTTAAATAATAATGCTAGAATGTTATTTGCCTTTTTCATTTTGTTGAGACTTGCACTGATGGTGCAAAAGCAATGGTGAGAAAAACCGCCAGTGCTTCTACAAGTCAATGCAGTGGTACCATCATCTGCTCATACCCATTGCCTTATGCTTTTATATTTTTTAAAAAGCCACTATCACTTAGGAATGCTCTAGATGAAGCAGAAAAAAGAAAACAGAAGGTTTATATTGAGTCATTATTCTTGCACAGTCATCTTTTCTAACATTGCGTTATGAAATGAGAATACACAAAAAGCTCATCAGTAAAAATCCTCAAAGTCAATGCTACCTAGGAAGAAAGCACTTATGTTGAGGTGCAGGTTGAGCAGGCTACTTTCATCGTGGCATATCAGCTTTACATGGAAAAACAACTATTATAACTAAAGATATTTGGCAGACACATTTTCAAAGAAAGCAAAGCATGACTGTCATTTTAAGGAAAACTATTGGCACTGTTTGCTGCCAATGATAAAATTCAACACCCACGCAATATCAGAATTTTGGAAAACTTACATCTACTACCATAAACTTGTTAGCTTCTTACTATTTCATTTTTTGTGAGATCACAGGGATATTTTGATACTGGATAATAAATGTATCAATATTTGAAGATTATACAACTCCATAGGTCAGTAGTTTCCAAATGAACAATACATAATTGTTTTTAATCTTTCAAGGTAAAAGACTCAAAGTGTAAGGTATGGTTTCAGATTTTACATTGCAACTAAACTTTTAGAAACTACCAGTTGCTGGATTTTGATTCACTATTCAAAAGTAATATCCAAAAGTACTAGAAATGGTAATAAAAATCTTCCTTTCTTTTCCAGTTACACATATGTGTGAAGCCAGATTTTCTTCACATACTTCAATCAAAGCACATACCAAAGTACATTCAATGTAGAAGCAGAGAAAAGAATCCAGGTGTATTAAGCCATACATAAACATATTTGTAAAAATGTAAAGCAACGACACTCTTATTACTACTTTTGGGGAGAGTATGGAAAATATCTTATTTCATGCAATACATTATTTGTGTTAAAATTTAATCACTACATTGCTATTGTCAAGCAAATTAAATACTTTTAAAGCATCGCAGTTTTAATTTCTGTTAGGTTTATGTCTTCCTTATGGCTCATGTCCATATAAGTAGATCTTTTGGGAGGTAACCGGATCATGGATCACTGGATTAGACCACTGATGGGTTTTCGGTTGGGTGTGATGTTGGAAGGTGAAGTCTGGTGGAATGAGGTGGGTCACTGTTGGGGTGAGCTGGAAGGATATATATCCCTCCTCCTCCTGATCTTTGCTTGGCTTCCTGCTTGCTACACCATAAGCTGCTTCTCTTCTGCCATGTCACCCTGCCTTAGAGCCAGCAGACTCTGGACTGAAACCTCTACAAACTGGGAGCCAAAACAAACCTTTCCTACTTTAAACTGTGTGTTAGGTACTGTGTCTTAGTAATGAGAAAGTAACTAATATAATTTCCAATATGGTAAATATAGATATAATCCATGCAAACAAAAGTTCTTTGGGGGGGGTCCTCAATAATTTGTAAGAATTTAAGACTCCTGAACTCAAAGATCTGAGAATTATTGCAGTAGATGCTCCACTAATATTGGTGAGTTAGTGAGCCAATGAAGCAATATGAAGGAAGAAAGGAAGGTGAGATGATATCAAGCTAGTTATGTGAGTGGGAGCTCACTTTCATATTCACTCTGCTTCAAATACTTGACCATTACCATACCCAGCAGGATACTGATAGTAAGGCTTAAAAACATCCAGAAAGCAGCAAGTGTCCTATCAGAAACAAGTCAGCTGATGCTCAGTTTTAAGTGGAAGAATAATTATTCTTTTAAAATTTCAAATTAAGGAGGACTCATGGAGGAGATGTCTCCCTCACCTTGCTGTGATTCTGAATCTCAGGCAAGATTTTTAAGGACAACTCTCTAACTCATTAACTGGCTCTAGAAAATGAATTATGAGTGCAGCTATCACGGCGTGTTTTCTGTGAGTCTGGAGCACCAAAGGCACAGTGCTGGAAAGGAGCCAGTTCACTATCACTGACTGTGTTGTCACAACACAACCTTTGCGGGTTGGGGGTGATGGTGGCTGCAGAACACTCAGGCAGCTGTGGTCTGGGGAAGAAAGTGAGGCAACCGCCAGGGGAGGTGCAGCAGCAACACTTTGCACTGAATTTCAAATTTCAGAAAAATGTGGCAAAGTTGTTGACTGCTGAGAAAGCACAGCAGCAGACAGATTAGTCTGCTATGCTACAAATAGAAACAGGGCGGCTCTTTCAGAGCAAAGGCATTGGGCCAAATGAGACTAAGAGGCAGTAGCAGCTGCAGTCCCCAATGAAAGGAGAATGTTCGTAATGTATTCCAGGACAAAGCATAGTTGGTCATGCTCTGCCTAATTGCTCAGTCACACCTGCACAGGTGGAGATCAGCAGCCTGCTCCAGAAATGGTGCCCAAGTTCTCAGTAAGCATCCCTTTCTCAAGGAGTTCCCACTCATATTTTATTTGTGCCTCTTATGGAATAAGGTTGCTAAACCCTGGCATTCTGTTATTCTTGGGCAAACTTGTTTTTTCCATCCCTGGTGTGAACTTACTGAAGGCCACTCACTCACTCCTCATGCACACAGTAAGTGCTCAATACATATTTTTGAATACATGAAGTATTAGCTTAGCAAAACTGTCAACATCCTGCTGCCACATCTTTATTCATCTGTTTGTTTATCTAACAAATTTTTGTCCAGCCCCGACCGCATTGCCTTGGGCATCTTAAGATGAACTAGAAATGGCTATTTCTCTTCAAAAATGCCTAGTTTATTAATTCAAATTGGTCTCTTCACTGAGAGATAAGTACAGATCTAATAGACATCTTCTTTTCTTTTTCCTTTTAACCACATTTGTCATGCAACCCATGTCTAGAAGTGATCAACAAGTCAAAGAAATATATCAATGACATTCCTTTCTCTAACCTAGTACTTTACTTTTATTGTCTTCAATTAGATCAATCAGCTTAAAAAAAAAAAAAAAAAAGCCCTTGACTTGGAAACAGTATGACAAACCCTACCACAATCTAGAATTTAAACTCAACAAATGACATGTTGTTTACTTCCAAAAAATGTGCATTTCTTACACATGGCTTGGATCATGTGCTTACTTCTGAACCGACCATAAAGGCCAGGGAGACTTAACGCACTGATTAGTTCAGAGTTTACATGGAACGTAACCCATTAGGAAAGAGTCTTTTCTACTTTACTTGCTACAGTATCCCCAGAACCCAGTGAAGTTACTAGCTCAGGGTGGATACCTGATAAATATTCATTGGCCAAAAAAAGACAAAGAATACAAACAAAAATAGTTCGTAAATTATTTGTTTTATTAAATATTCTCTTGTGTGGATAAGCACTGAGGCCCTGCAGTTTGGGTTCAAATCCTGGCTTTATCAGTCACTATATGACCTTAAACTAAGTAACTTACATAGCCACTCCTTGTCTCAGTTTCTTCATTGGTAAAATACAGATAATAGTACTTATCTCATAAGCCTGCTACTAATACTAAATTAGAAATAATCCCTGAAATTCTTACTGCAGTTACTTGCACATTGTTAGAACCAAAAAGAAGTTAAGTATTATTGTATACATGTTTGTGTATGGGTAAGGACAGACTTTTATTACTATCCACTTAAATTAATCAAACAAAATGTAACACTTGGACAATTTCTGAATAGTATTCTGCAAATAAAATATTTAAAATGTTTATTAAAATTTACAAGTTCTTCTTAGGTTCCTGTATGTTCTACAGTGCAGCAAATTTCTTAAAGGTGAGTGTAGTTTAAATTTCTGCTCCAAGCCAGCAGCCCAGTGCAGCGCATGTAACAGGCAGGACTAGCTAGCAGAGTGGAAAGTCTAAAGCAGCAGTGAGAATGTGAGCCAGTGGTTGGTGAGTGAGGTGAATGGGGCTGTGCTCTGGCAAACAGAAGCAGGCAGGCCAGGTTGTCATTTGATTTCAGAGGGCTCCAGGCGAAGTCCAGCAGCAGAACAGTCCCAGGTCTTTTCACTGTGAATGGCATAGAGCAGAATGATGGAATAGCCATCTAGTCACAGTGGACTTCTAGCGGGTGGGAGCAGACTAGGGGGATTTCGGCTGGGACCACCCAGACCCCACTCTAGTGGTCACCAAGGGCCAGTCTTAGCCCAAATACAAAAACTGGAATCTTCCCCTGGTCTGAGACCAACAGAGTGGCTTAGGCCCAGAAATATAAGCCGGCAAGCAGCCTTGGCCTGCAGCAGGACAAGGGCACTCCTCCTGCCCAAAGGCCAGTGTATAAGAGGAGTCAGTGGTGTGGAACAGAGGAAGCTGTGTAATGTCTGGAAGAAGCCAACTGAACGCAAGTCTGAGAGCAACCCTAGCTTTCCTAGCACACAGCAACTGGGAGAGTGCAGTAGAGACACTCATGGTAAAGAGAAGTGGACATCTAGAAAGTTGTCTGTGTAAGTCCATTCCCAGCCTCCACATCCAGAGGCCAAGATCATCCCCATACCCAGCACAAATCGTACTGCAAAGTAGGTGGGATTACACAGTACATTTCTGGGATTTGACTTGAAAATTACCAAAGAATTCCACATAGAGGAATTTTATCCTTTTTCTTTTTCTTTGTTTGCTTGATCTGTTTTTCTTTTTCTATTGGATTGTATTTTTTTCTTTTTCTTTTTTTCACTATTTAGGTTTTTTACCTTTCTTTGTGTTTCCTTCTATTCATCTCTTTTCTTTCTTTCCTTAACCATCTTTCTTGATTATATGACTCTTTCTTTCATGTGAGTGAATATTTACCCTTCTCCTTGTGGTTCACTGCAAGATTCTTTTGATTTTTTTTTTTATGCTTTCTCTCCTGTGTTCTTCAGTTTCCCAAAACTTGGGTGATAATACTGTGCCCTCTAGCCTTGCTTCTACTATATTTGTCATTTTTCTCTCTATCGTATCCCCTATACCTCTTAAAACCTCTCATACAAGGTAAAAATCACTCTGTGGACGGGAAAATCATTACATACAAATTCCTGGTATATGTTGGACTTTGTTATAAACTGTAGAACTTGCTCCTATAGTTAAAGGTATCAGGTTAATAGTTACCACAAACAGTTAATAGTTAGACTGTGCTTGATGCTATTATTATTGCTAACTATACCACTTTACCAGGATGTCATACCTTTTATAATCAGTTTTCCTCCCTTATATGACAACATTGTCACTGTCTGGGGTCATAACCATCACCATAGTCCAGCATTAAAGGACTGAGTGCTGAGCTAGATAGATACCAACTTCTTATCCTTAATAAATTGGTTCTTGGGACACACACAAAGACCAAGGACCACCTATACCTAGAAAACATCCCTGAGGAATAGTCATTTTCTAGGGAGGCCTCGATACTGATGATAAACTAGCTACCATAAGAGATCTACAAGATCAACACAGAAAACAAAACAAAATAATAACAGAAAATAGAAAATGACAAGACACAGAAGCAAAATGCAACCTGTGACCCCCAGCCCACCCAGGATAAGTCCAGAGTACAGTGAGATAGAACAAATCAGAAACTACACACTGGAACTTTCTGAAATGTGAACAGCAGAAATGAAAAAATAAATGGATGAGGCTATAGAGAAAAATAATCTCTCAGGTAAAAAAAAAATTGTCAAAAGAGAAGATATAAGACATATTTAAAAAACAGAGGCACTTAGGAAAATGATGGAAACCATGAATTCCCAAATAGGATAAAAATGAAATCCATGAAACAGATCCAAAAAGAAATCCAGGAGATTGAAAACTCCATCAGAAGTACTGAATGAAGGTGAGGATAGAATATCATATCTAGAAGACAGGATTGCAGCTAATGAGCACAGAAAGAAAGATATCTTAAAAATAGCAAGGGATCATGAAAAATCATTGCAACAGCTATGCAATAAAGCAAAGAAGAACAACATAGGAATAATTGGAGTCAATGATAAAGCCGAATATTGTGCAAATGCCATAAAAAACCTCTTCACAGAAGTAATGGCAGAAAACTTCCAAAACATTGATAAAGAAGTTGATATAAAATAAGTGAAGCACACAGAACTCCAAATAGCCATCATCAAAAGAAATCTACCCGAAGGTGTATAATAATCAAGAATCCAGAAATTCAGGAAAGTACACAATATTAAAAGCAGTTAGCGAAAAGAAATAAATCACCTATAAAAGAAAGCCCATGAGAATCACAGAAGACTTCTCAACACAAACTATCAAAGCAAGGAGGGGACAGAGGGAAATATTTAAAGCCCTTAAAGAAAACAACCTTCAACTCAGACTGATTTACTCTGCAAAACTATTTTTCAAAATCAATAGAGAAAGAAGATACTTTCATGATAAAGAACAACTGAAGAAATTCATGACCACCAAACAAGCTTTGCAAAAGTCTCTGAAGGATATTTTAGAAAAAGAAAATAAAGCCCACAATTACAAAAACACCAATACAAGGAAGCCAGGACATCAGGCAGGGCAAGCAATTAATCAGGAGGGAAACAATGGAAACCAACAACAGGAAAACAACATTAGAAGGATAAGCCAATACTACATAACAGTTATAACCATCAATGTAAATGGTCTCAGTTCACCAATCAAAAGAAGGAGCCCAGCAGAATGGATCAAGAAGCAAGACCAGTTTTAACTCAAAGAAACAAGAAATCAAGGAACACTTTTAAATCAAAAAGAAATTCATAGACTGAAATTCAAAGGATGGAAAACAATAGTCCACGTGACAGGAACACAGAAAAAAACAGGGGTAGCTTTTCTATGTGCAGACAATGTGAACTAGAAGCCAAGACTGATCAAAGGAAACAAAGAATGTCACTACATCCTTGTTTAAGGAAAAATCCTTGCTGGGTGTGGTGGTGAACCCCTGTAATCCCAGCACTTGAGAGGCTGAGGCAGGAGGATCATTGTGAGTTCAAGACCAGCCTGGACTACAAAGTAAAGTCAAGGCCAGCCTAGACTACATAGCAAGACCCTGTCTCAAAAAAGACAAAATAAAACAAAAAACAAACAAAAACTCCCTGAAGTGATAACAATCTTTTTATATGTATGCACCAAATTCCAGTGCATCCAACTACATAAAACAAATATTAAAAGACATGTAAAATTAAACAAGCACTAACACAGTTGTAATGGGGGATGTTAATACTCCACAGTCACAAATAGATGAACTACACAAAAATCAAGAATAAAATATCAGAACTAAATCAAACCTGTGAACATATGGACTTAGTAGATGTCTATAGAGTGTTCTGACCCACAACACCAGAATACACACTCTCAGCTGCACATGTGACAATCTCCAAATTAAAGCACACACTAGCCCATAGATCATACTTAATTAAATGCAGAAGAATTGAAATTATCACATATATATTATCTGACCTTACTGCAATGAAAATGGAAATCAATGGTAAAATAAGCCACAAAAATTACATAAAAATATCTAAGTTAAATAACACCCTGTGGAACAACCAATGGGCCACAGAGAAAATTCAATAAGAAATTAAACAGTATCTACAATTAAATGATAATGCTGATACAACATACCACAACTTATAGATGCAATGAAAGCAGTCACAAGGGGGAAATTTATAGTGGTGAATTCTCATGAGGAAAGCAGAATGAGCTCAAGTAAACAACTTACTGATGAAATTCAAACTCCTAGAAAAAGAACAAATCAAACTTAAAGCTCACACAAGGGAGGAAATTATGAAATTATGAAGATCAGACTATAAATTAATGCAATCTAGATTAGGAAAATAATACAAAGCATCAGTAAATCAAATAGTTGGTTCTTTGAAAGATTAAATAAAATTGATAAATCCTTACCAACCATATCAAAAAGTAGAAATAAAAGACTCAACCAAAAAAGAAAAGTATGGGCCAATCTCCCTAATGAACACAGAAGCAAAAATTTTCAAAGATACTGACAAACAGAATACAGCAAAACATTAAAAAGATTATACAACATGACCAAGTAGGATTCATCCCAAGGATGCAGGGATGGATCAACATACACAAATCAATAAATGTAATATACCATATCAACAGAGCCAAAGACAAAAAGTCACATGATCATCTCAATAGATGCAGAAAAAGGTTTTGACAAAGTCCAACATTCATTCATGATAAAATCCTACAGAAAATTGGAATAGATGATCTATCTAATAAAAGCCATCTGTGACAAACCAATAGCCAACATCATGCTAAATGGACAAAAACAGAAACCTTTCACTTTAAAATCAGGAACAAGACAAGGATGTCCATGATCACCAGTCCTATTCAATATAGTTCTGGAAGCATTAGCCAGAGTAATTAGACAAGAGAGAGAAATAAAAGGAATAAGGAGAGGAAAGGAAGAAGTTAAATTCTCAATATTCACAGATGACATGATATTCCACATAGACTCCAAAAACTCCACCAAAAGACTTCTAGATTTAAGAACCAAATTCAGTATTATAGCCAGATACAAAATCTACCCTCAAAAATCAATAGCATTCTTGTACACAAACAATAAACTCACTAAAAGAGAAATTAAGGAAACCACACCTTTCACAATAGCATCTAAAAAAATGAAAAACTTAGGAATCAGTCCAACAAAGGAAGTACAAGATCTGTATATTGAAAGTTATAGTACTGTGAAAAAGGAGATCAAAGCTGATATCAGAAAATGGAAAGATATCCCTTGCTCATGGAAGGACCAACAGTGTGAAAATTACCTTACTCTCAAATTTGCTGTACAGATATAATGCAATCCCAATCAAAATACCACTAGCATACTTCATAGAACTAGAGAAAACATTCTTAATCTTCACTTGAAACTAGAGGAGACCTGGAATACAGAGACATTTCTCAGCAACAAAGGCAAAGCAGAGGGCATCAAAATCCCTGTTTTGAAATTAGATTACAAATCTACTGTGATAAAAACAGCATGATACTGGCAAAACAAAAAGACCGGAGGATTAATGGAGCATATCAGAAGATGCAGA